ATAAGCATTACAGAAAGTCACGGAGGGGGGGGGGGTTAGACATCGAAAATGTTTTCTTAGAATGTAGTGTTGTGTGAATAGCCTGAGGTCATGTACATTAGAATGTAGTGTTGTGTGAATAGCCTGAGGTCATGTACATTAGAATGTAGTGTTGTGTGAATAGCCTGAGGTCATGTACATTAGAATGTAGTGTTGTGTGAATAGCCTGGGGTCATGTACATTAGAATGTAGTGTTGTGTGAATAGCCTGAGGTCACGCACATTAGAATGTAGTTGTGTGTGAATAGCCTGGGGTCATGTACATTAGAATGTAGTGTTGTGTGAATAGCCTGAGGTCATGCACAGTATACATATCATAGATTGTCTATTTATCTGTAATGTACATCCAGTATTGCAGTGGTAGCTTATTTTGTGATCTGTTTTTACTCTGTCAGTAAGTCGTGAAGAAATTTATTTATATGTTCTAACGGTCAAACTGCTCTTCCAAAAGCTTGTTATACGTGGTTACGCTCTTCTGTAAACACTCAGTGCTGTCGTGGTACCTACCACGTGGCTATCATTTAGTGGAGTGAGCTGTAATGACAAAGCTCGTAGAATGTGAAGTTTAAAGCTATTTTGGAAAGCAGCAAGACTAGAAATATTGTACTGTTGGAAACCATTGAACACGATTATAATACATCAAAGTAATGTTTCAAAGGATTGGATATAATTATCCTCAGCATTGTAACAGGAAAAAAAAAAGGTCAGAGCTATAATACTGCCGAAAAATACAAAGGATTATTATCACTCACCACGCGCATATACAAAAACACATTTGTTATCTCTCTAAGCTGTTAAACCTGCTCAAATTTTGGAAACAGGACAAACACAGAAACAACTGATAACTCACTCTGGTGTATTCAAATCTGCAACGGAAAACTTGATATGTTATCAAACAACTGGTCAGAGGTTCTCAAACTTTTTCTGCTGGGCCCCCTTTGAAAATATTTCAGACTATGACGACCCCCACCACACACACACACATAAAGTACATACTCTAAAATATCCGTTATCGCAATATTTGTTATGATCTCGCGACCCCTTTTCAGAAATGCTACACTAAACAACCTGGATAAGAACGTGAGATGTAAAGTACGCCACGTAACAATCGCTAACATGACCATCAGGAATCGCCAGTGTATTGCACGTGGAATTAACGTGACTGAAGCACAGCAACAGGAGTGCTTATCAGTGACCAAAAACCAAAGATCATGCTTCAAGGCTCCCGTATGAGGTAGAGAGAACTTTCGTTGTCGATATTACCAAAATCAGTAACATTGGGCACTGTTACTCTTCACTGAGAAGTTAAACTTTCTCGACTTTCGTCTGGAGTGTAACAGGTGGACAATATCATCGCAACACCCTTGTATATGGCCGTTTCTGTGGTGGTAAAGTCATAATGTGAGAAAGGTATCAATATTGTTGCATATCTGCTCGTTTGTTAATTTCGGGTATAAATTCTTTCCGAGAAACTTCAGCGAAACAAGTCCTTTCTTAATTAAAACTAGTTTATTCTTTCTCGAAAGTGACTGTGGAAATTCTGTGTATTACAAAGTTGTATAAACTTAACAACCTTTATAACACATGCTATAAATCACAGTGGTTCACACACTTTACTTATGGTGCCTACTGTTCGCTTGACTCAGTTATCTATCTCTTCGATCTCACTGGTTTTCCTCGCTAGGCTTATATACAAAAAAAAGAGGGCATCTCGAATGCACTCGGCCCTTCCTGATCATTCGAGAAATTTCAGCGCACATGCTTCCAGCATCACACGACTTCCACTGTCTGTTGTAACAATATATATATGTATATATATGGGTGGGAGACAAACACACACATATACCACTTTTGTTTATGTGTTTGAAAAAGCTATTCAGGAAAAAAAACTAAGTTTTCTCAATTATAATAGTTATCATCATATATGTCGATTTATATTGTTTGTTTTTTTATAAAATGTTATTCTGAGAAAACTTTTTAAAATAAACTTAACACTAAGGATCATTTCCTTAGTCCAAAAGAGTTACTATACTATCTTTAACATGAGTTTCTTTTGTATTTGACACATTTTATTCTCCATCAGCATTTAACTTGTATGTGTGTATGTCTTCTTTGAAATTATCAAGATGATTTCTAGGTCCTTTTGAGGTTTCTACACTTTGACTAGGTCAGTTGTTACTGGGTGAATTTAAATTTACAGACCTTGATGTGACCATCTTGTTTAACTTTGATTGAAGTTTTACTTCTATTTATTCTGCCAGATTAGTTTTGTTTTCTTATCTTGTTTAACTCTGATTGAAGTGTTACTTTCATTTATTCTGCCAGATTAGTTTTGTTTTCTTATCATGTTTAACTTTGATTGAAGTGTTACTTCTATTTATTCTGCCAGATTAGTTTTGTTTTCTTATCATGTTTAACTTTGATTGAAGTGTTACTTCCATTTATTCTGCCAGATTAGAGTTTTGTTTTCTTTTACATATACCTTCACAGATTGACTTAGCTACCTTCTGTAATCATGACTTTTCATAGCAATTCTCATATTTCTGTGCTTTGTACTTTTGCATGTGTTAAACACACTATAAAGTTGTCACTACACGTGCAGATTTAAAATATTTTACACACAGTTTTGTGACACTGTACTATACTTTTACTGTGAGCTGTATACTAGATTGTATTTAAACATTTATAGTGTACTTGTGTTGACAAATAAATGTTGTATATTTTTATTATCTACAGATGATCTTGGGCTTTCAAAATACCAAAAAGAAAAAGTTGAACTTTTAGTTCATCTCCTGTACAGCAATCCTAGGGTTCTTTATGCTCCTAACAATACAGCTGCTGACCAAATCATTAAAAATGTAAGAATTATTATAAGTTTAGATTAGTTTCATGTTTGTACTCTATACTTTTATATGTAAAATTTACTAGTATACATTCTATATTGTTTAGGATTGTCAGGATTTAAAATAATATAAATATATACTATGTTGTTGTTGGGCTTAGGATTCTTCTACAGTAGGTGTCTGTGATATGTTAGCAATAAATTCAATGATGAACAAACAGCATGCACTTCACTTGTTTTCAAATAATATACATATATTCATAACAAGTTAACGTACGTACAACAAAGTTTTCACACTATAGAGATTATGGACATATCATAAACACTATATGCATAGTTCTCTCCTCCTTGTTAAATATCCACTTAGGCTTATTCAATTACTTTACAATTTCAGTTGACAAGCCAAACTATCTTCTCTATTTTTGTTGCACTAGTGTTCCCTGTGATTCACTTACAATTGTGGCACAAGTTACAGTAATCGTTTGGTCTTCTTTCTTCTGAAGATCCTCTGTTCCTTTTGTCAAAGTGCACTCAGGCTGATTCGATTACTTTAGAACCATGCTTTAATTTCACTCTAACATATTGAACATTACGCTTATCACTTCTATGATACTTAACTTCATGACAACTTTATTCTCTTTTGCTATTATCTGTCTGCTATTCCTGCTAATCTCATGTTATTTATATCTTTATCACTTAATCATCTGTCCGCCTTCTATATTCTCGACGTCAGTGCATTGTATGTGACATTCGATATTCTCAACATCAATGAATTATTAACAAAACCTTCTACAATCATCTGCTTTTAACTCTTATTATGAAAAAAACTAAACAATAATAAATCTTTCACTCACAAAACTAAATTAATCAACAATAACTAAACCAAACAGTCTTTTATATCATGACATATACCTCTCTTCAAGATAAAATATTTACAATATTTTTTTTACTATATAAAAGGACTGTTCTTAGTTCATACACAAAATCTGCTCATACAGTCTGCTCCAACATTTGCACTTCCTTTGTATGTCTCTCCTAACATAGGGTCTTCAGTGGGGCTTTTCCTTAACAGCATCCCTCATCTTCATCTTGACCTTGTGTTGTCTATATTTCCTAATCTATCTGTATGCTGACACAGTAGATTTTGTTCTTCTTCCCTCTTCCTATCAGTCAGTTTCACACTCATGTTCACGTCTTTGTAGGTCTCATCTCTACACAGTGCCCTTAGCTTAGTAGGTCCTTATCTTCTATAATGAAATCACTGTCTTCGAATTATGCTTCCTGTACTTGCTTGTGGGACTTCTCGATAAGCGAATAATACTGCTTGCAAATACCTGTCCCAGTCATGTGGTCTCTCTTGGCACATCTTCTTGGCAAAGTCCATTACATTTAGGATTGTATGGGGTGTAAAGAGTAGCTGAGTACTGATGAGTCTGCACACTTCTTTCATCTGTTCTGAAGTAAACTGGGTCCCTCTATCACTCAGGATTTCTCTCGGAAAGCCTACTCTGCAAAATATCCCCAGGAAGGCTTTTGCTATTTTCTCTGTCTCTATCTTCGCCAGTGCTATTGCTTCCGGATAACATGTCACATAGTTGACTACTGTTAGCACATACCTGTTGCCATTGTCAGACACAGGCGCCAGTGGCCCGATCAAGTCCACAGCTACTTTGCTGAATGGCTCTTGTATGAGAGGCATCTCTCCCAATGGCACTTTGGCTACCTTCCCTCTAGATATTGTCCTTTGGCAGATGTTACATGACCTGCAGAATCTACTCACATCTCTGATGACTCCCAGCCAATGGAAGTTACTGGTGATTCTGTCTGCCATTTTTTTGTTCTTAGGTGTCCTCCCACAATTGATTCATGAGCCAACTTCATCACATGAGTCCGGTATTCTGTTGGTACTATGATCTGTTTAACTTCCCCAGTATAACTGCCTTGATAGATTTAGTATAAAAATCCCTTCCAGTGCCCTATTCTATAAGCACCTTTCCCTATTGTTTTGTGCTTTACTTTTTTCTGGGCATTGTCCCAAAGTTTTTGCAGTGAAGGGTCTTTCTTCTGTGCTTTCTTCAGTACCTGCAAACCTAAATTCGGGATATTGCCTTTTGACACTTGCAGGAGCTTGACGTTCTGTTTGCTCTTCTTTTCTTGAGCTCTGGTGATGACAGAAGATGCTTCATCAATCTTCTTTCTGTCTAGTTTCTCAAAGTTTTCTAATACTGGTATCTCGTGTATTGGTTCCTTGATACACATGGCCTCAAGGTCTCCTACATAATATGGAGTATCCAACTTTATTTTTGCTATGAGAAATTTTCTCACTGTCCCATCAATTAGCACACACAAATGTACCTTGCCTCTCATCTGATCATTGGATACTAAACTGGTTCTCACTGCTGCACTACTGCACCCAGTATCTCGAAAAACCTTCACTTTCTTGTCCCCAACACAGCCTTCACATATTGGCATATTATGATATGTTGGCATCTCTTGATATTTGTCACAAGCTCCCATCACTGTTGGCACTGTTGATCCGTTTGCTAATTTGAATTGACCATTAGTCGTGCACTGATCAATCACATTTTCTTCTATTGAATTTGACAAGTAGTCTTGATTCACTTTCTTCTGGCAGCAGCATCAATAGTGCCAGTCACTCTTTTCTTGCTGCTTACCAGCACTGTCTTTGTAAATGGCTCCAGCTTCTTTATGTTGAAGTTTCTGCTATTGTTTGCTGGTAATGGACTTGCACTCCTTTGCAATGTGTCCCATTTTATAACAAACATAGCATCTCTTTTCCCTTCTGTCTGTTAACCTCCTGTCACCTTTGGTGAACTCCTGCTTCTGGTAAGCCATTACTGGTTTCAAATTTAACTGGACATTCTTGAACTTGCCAGTTACACTACCTCCATGGGCTTCCATATACTGTTCTGCCTGCTTGATCATCTTGTCTACATCTTTTTGTGCTCTCTCCTTTAGGAACAGTGACATGGTCATGAACTGTTCATGTACTAATAGGTCTGCCAATCCTTCTAAACTATTTTTACACATGGCCATGTCAGTCCATCTGTTGAAATATCGCCGCAGATGTGCCACAAACTGAAATACAGTTTCTACAAGGTCGGGTTTGACTCCTCTGAACTTCAGACAAAAACCTTCTTCAGTAAGTTCATATCATTTCAGTAAAGCTACTTTTAATTTGTCATAATCCATGGCATCTTCTGATGTCATGTCTGTATATACTTGTAGCCCTTTTTCTATGAGAAGTGTGGTGAGACAGATTGCCCAGTCACCTTTGTCCCAGTTCTGACTTTGGGCAAATCTTTCATATCTCTCCAGGAAAGCATCCATGTCATCTTTATGTTCATCAAATGTGGGCAGCTTAGGTTGGCTAGCCCTGACTCCATCATCATTCTTGGGTCCTTATTCCTTTGGTGGAGTGAGTTTTGCTATCTCAATTTGTGCTCTTATTCTTTGGTGTCTCCTCTCTCTCTTTTTTTTTCTTTCATAATTTGTATTCTCATTCTCTCTATTTCTAGTTTCTCCTTTCTTTCATTTTCTTCTTTCAGTGTTTCTCTTTCTTCTTAATTTGTCAATTTGTCTCATTTGTTGCCATTCTTCTCTTCCCAGTTCTTGTTGTTTTTTAACAAATTCTCATAATTCACTGTCTTTTAAACCAAGTTGAGATCCTCTTTCTACCCATTTATCAAAATCTGTTAACATGGTTATATAGCATAATTTTAATCTCTGCACTATTTTCATTACTACTACAGTTGTGCGTATACAGGTAGGCCTACTTATTTCTGCTGTCGTTCATGTTTTATTCTATCACTTTTTACTACTGTATAATCCTGGCTGTGGCTCGCCAATTGTCAGAATTTAAAATAAATTATGTATATAACTTCCTTTTTTGCCAATTGTCAAAATAAAAATGCTTTTAGTTATATTTCTAAATATATACTATGTTGTTGTTGTTGTTAGGCTTAGGATTCTTCTGCAGTAGGTGTCTGTGACTTGTTAACAATACAAGATTGATACAAGGGGTGGCATGGCTTAATGGAGTGTAGGTTAATTCACCTGAAGTGGATACAAGGGGTGGCATGGCTTAGTGAGTGTAGGTTAATTCACCTGAAGTGGATACAAGGGGTGACATGGCCCAGTGAGTATAGGTTAGTTCACCTGAGGTGGATACAAGGGGTGACATGGCCTAGTGAGTGTAGGTTAATTGACTTGAGATTGATACATGGGATGACATGGCCTAGTGAGTGTAGGTTACTTCACCTGAGGTTTATTCATGGGATGACATGGCCTAGTGAGTGTAGGTTAATTCACCTGAGGTTGATACAAGTGGTGACATGGCCTAGTGAGTGTAGGTTACTTCATCTGAGGTTTATTCAAGGGATGACATGGCCTAGTGAGTGTAGGTTAATTCACCTGAGGTTGATACAAGTGGTGACATGGCCTAGTGAGTGTAGGTTACTTCATCTAAGGTTTATTCAAGGGATGATATGGCCTAGTGAGTGTAGGTTAATTCACCTGAGGTTGATACAAGGAATGACATGGCCTAGTGAGTGTAGGTTACTTCATCTGAGGTTTATTCAAGGGATGACATGGCCTAGTGAGTGTAGGTTAATTCACCTGAGTTTGATACAAGTGGTGACATGGTCTAGTGAGTGTAGGTTAATTCACGTGAGTTTGATACAAGTGGTGACATTGCCTAGTTAATTAGTGATCTGAACTAATAGTCGAAAGGTTGCTGGTTCATATGTAACCTATAACTTGTCATTTGTGTCCTTGAGCAAGATACTTTACCTAAAATTTGCTTCAGTATCTGCTGAAAAACTGTCTTCAGTTGATAGCTGGAGATTAACCTGCAATGACTGATATCCTGTCCAGGGGGAGTTTGAAAACATTCTCATCCACTTGTGCCACAGCAAACTAGACTTAAGCATCAACCCATATCTTTAATTATATCAAACCTGGTATGTTGAATTGACATGCATTATATAGTTTTATTGTGTTGTGAAAATAAGAACTGTTGGAAATAAATTGGAACTGAAGAACGACTTTCACAGATTCTATAGATTCTTCAAATATCTTATTTTTATATGTGTGGTTTATATGAATTCACAGCTGTGAAATTTTGAAAATATTTTGTGATTTTATATAGTTTTTAATTGAAAATGCTTGATTTTGTTGTAGATTTTAATTACTGATTTTTTTGTCATCCTACATTGTTTTAAAACTATTATAAAGGCTTTATTGTATAAAACTAGAAATTTTGTCTTTGTTTTGATATAAAACACGTGCATGCAGTTTCACTGTATTTACGATCACTGGAGCACAATATAAATAATTTTTTACTATATTGAAGTTATAAGCAAGCTAACTTTTTAAATTATTCATAAGAAAGTGTAATTTAATATATGTAATAAGTTCTAAATCCATTGTATATTCATTACATGTATTTTTCTGTATTTCTTTTTAGTGATTTTGTTTTTGCCCTTTCAAGCAGTTACTTAGGCTGATAATTATTAATATAAACAAGGCCTAACACAGAAAAGGCCTTGTTGATGAAGCAAAACTTCAGGTGGTCTTGGGTTGTGCAACATCATAATTAAAGTGAACCATAAAGTGATAGATCAAGCTTTAAAAATATAAATCAGGACTGTAATTGTAGCATAAGTTATTTGCATACAGCCTTTCTTTTAGCAATAGATCAAGCTAAGCTTTAATAATTTTGTTCTGATTCCTGTGTGAGTCTTTGCTGAATTGGCAATCAAATTTGTTTTGGGAAATTTTAATTAAGTTTCAGATATAAGATGTATTTCTAAACTTTGGTGTCTTTTAATGATATCTGTGAGTTTCACAAGCCACTGTAGTAGTAGTTTTGAGTTTACCTTGACCAGTAGTCAGAATCACCATAAATAAAGCAAGATTGATTCATTTTAAACAACTGTTCAAACTTTCTTTATCCCCAGTCAGATGAAAGAAATTCCTTGAATTACTGATGGGGTCTAAATGGTTTCCATAGTTTCTTTTTGTTTGATTTTTGTGTTTGTGGGCCTTTGACTTTCCTGGTTACAGGATATCTAATTATATATTAGACATGCTTGAAAAATTTAACCCTTCCCCTGTTTTTGGTCATTTATGGGCACTTTTTTGAGTACTTTTCCAACTAGGTATGAGTGAATCATATTCTTCTAGTATTATTGAATGAACATATATAAATAATTAATAAAAAACAAATTATATTTATCCTAGGTTTACATTTCCTTTTGAGTAAAAGTAAATTAACCTGTCATCAATCATATTCATTTTAAGTATCACATGTGGTGCTCATATGAAGCTGTTTTCTAATCTCATACGTTAAACCAAAACAACCTGTTCCTATGCCATGTTCACAATTGTCAGCTGCATATCAACTCAGTATATTTGTGTATCACATATGATACTCGGGCACTGTAGCATTATGTCTCATAAATCATGTGATGCACGGGATGGGGATAGGGTTAAACAAAATGTTATCTGTATTGTAATTAGTCTAATTATAGCAAAGATCATGCATCCAGTTGTTTTGGCCATTTCATTATGTTCTATGTTGTAACATGCAAAAACATAAAATTGTGCACTGAGATGCAATTTGTGGACCTCACCAGTAGTGAATGGTAAACAACAAGTTTGTAATATGTGGACCTCATTGGTAGTGAATGGCAAAAAAACAAGTTTGTAATATGTGGACCTCACTGGTAGTGAATGATAAAGAAGTTTGTAATATGTGGACCTCACTGGTAGTGAACGATAAAGAAGTTTGTAATATGTGGACCTCACTGGTAGTGAACGATAAAGAAGTTTGTAATATGTGGACCTCACTGGTAGTGAATGATAAAGAAGTCTGTAATATGTGGACCTCACTGGTAGGGAATGATAAAGAAGTATGTAATATGTGGACCTCACTGGTAGTGAACGATAAAAAACAAGTTTGTACTTTGAGTATTAATTAATTTCAACAAGTTACTCCAAGCACCTCACACTTACCAAATTTATTTTTTGATTATCATTACAAGTATTGGTTTGTGGTATTTTTTCAAAATTAAAAATTCTAATATATTCCATCTGATTAAGAGGATGGTACCATTTTCAGGTCAACTCTTCTCTGAGAAAAAAATATCTCAGAAGATATATGACACCCATATTGACCATAAAAATGTATGTAAGTTCAAATATAAATTGTTGTTTTATTTAAATAAATAAGATGTGTGTATTGAGTGTTCAATTGTAAGGATGAGAGAGATTAAATATTTTTGATTTTTTTATTTTTAGGCTAATGAGACTTTTGAGCTACTTGATAGTGTCACCCAATATGCTCGTAAGATGCTGAATGTGTCTGAAGAAATTAGGGCTTACCTGGCAGAAAATAGTACAGTGGAATCATTAAACGTCTTGAAAGAGGTTGTTGTTATTGTTATCTGTTTTTGAATTTTATGAGAATTTCAAGATACTTTGAAATTTTGAAATAGAACATATACCTTATATTGCGGCATATAAGTTGACTCAGTCTATAAGTCTCCCCCCCTCCCCCAAATCTAGGTCAAAAAATCCCTGAATTTTCTGATCACCGTCATATAAGTGTACCCATCAAAATTATACAGAAAGCCTATATATTATAAATATATTTCTAATGAGAGCTGAATATTTACAGAGAAAGGTTTATATACAGTTTATTTCACAGTATTGACAAAATTTAAAATCCATCAAAGTCCTCATCTTCAGAATCTAAATTGCCAAAATATTCCATGAATTCACTTTAAGTTATCTGATCATCATAGACATTGTTTACCTAAATGGGATCATTATTTTTCTCAGTTGTTGGACAGGCATTATTTTAAGTTGTAGGACCAAATTGTGTTGCTTCATGAAACCATCTCCAGTGAACACGAAAGTCAAAAATATTTCTCTTTTTGGCTCATGCCTTGACTTGTACCATAATCTCATTTCTTGTTACAATCAGACCAAAATTACGATTTTTGTCCACCCATTTCACAAGGTCTCTTTCCAGTTCAGACCAGAAACCAGTTTTTTTGTCGCTGAATAGCACACTTTGATCGTGATAGATTTTTAATTTTCACTTTCTATTTCACAACCATGGATGAATTTTTCATTTATGCCAAACTCCCTACTCACATCACAGTTGTTTGTCTATTCGTATCTCGTACATTTTGGAGGAATTTTGATGTTCAGTTGTTGAATATGACAACTAGAATGCACGTTGCAATCTTTATAGAATTTCAAACAAAGGTTCTGCATGAAGAGTATTATTCAGTGTGTTTAAATAGATGAATTCATTCAATCTCAAGGCTCCACTGATGATAGACAATTTTTCTACATTTTTTTGTATCTGTTGTATAAGTAGAGTCCCCTTTTTTGGAATAATATTCTGTCATAAAAAAAATTGACTTATATGCCATGATATATGGTAGCAATATCATTTTACTGATAGATGTTCTTAAAATATTCAGTTTGCAGTTTATGGGTTGCTGCTTTCTTGTGTCTTATTGTAAAATAACCAGACAGGATTGTTGAATACTAAAAACAGTTAGTAATAAAAAAAAACAGGCTAAAATGAAAGAAATTTGTTTGTTCCAGTTTTGGAAAAATAACTTTTAAATAAGTTAAGATATCTTTGACGCAGAGTAATATTTGTATTCGTGAACATTGAAGCTTGTAAAAGTGTGATTTAGGCACTGGAGTTTTTATAGTTTGACTGGGTATTAAAGTTTATATATAGTCACCACATGTGTTGTTATATTGTAACTTTGTACTGAAGGGTGTACATTGCAACTAAATATTGAAGTTTATGATTAGAAAGCTTTAGACATTCAAGTGAAATGTCATTAATTACTTGCCTTCTGTATAGGGTATACTTTATGTCTACTTCTCTTCCCAGAGTTTTTATTAACTGAATTCAATTATATATATATATATTTTATAAAGTTTTTTTGAATAAGATATAAAAATCAATCAATCAAATATAGAAGAAAAAAAGGTCATATTTCATCAATTTCCCAATTTTCTCTTTTTTCTTAGGAATACAAAATCCATGATCAGAAAAGGGTTAAACTTTACTGCATATAATCTATTGTCAGGATGATAATATTGTAAAATAAGTTAATATTATTAGCAAAAGGTTGATAATAGCTGATTAAACAGTTTTTTTTGTAGAGGGATTTTAATATATGATGTTTATATGTTGTCAAAGTTTTTTATTGTTTGAGAGAACAAAAGTATTAAAAACTGTAACTTGATATGAAGCTATAAATTACTTTGAACATTTACTATGAATATCAGAGGATGTAGAGAAATTGGTATAAATGTTAATTGTAAAACTATTTCTGTATGAATATTTGAGAAAGTAATGAGTTATAATTTAATATGATTGTCTATTTACTGCTCTTATTAAATTTAGAGCTCAATTTCTAACACTAATCAGTGCTTAACTATTTTGAAATGTACATATAAATATTTAGGTTAATTTAACAAATTGTGAAATTAATTTTGGATTCAGAAAGTATTTGTTTGAAAATACAAATTGTAAAATTCCTTTAATTCTTACTCACCATATGAGATAAAGTTTAATCAGTATGCTGGCAAAAAAATTCTAGTAAAGACGACAATCTTGAAGAATAGAAACAAGAAAAAGAATAAATATGGAGACCAACAGTTTCTAGGATTTTCAAACTAAATTTTACTGTCTTAAATTATTAAAGAAAATGACACCAGAAATTGCATTTGCAGTGTTGATGCAAAAAAAGTTGATTTTGATGTGGATTTTTTTTTCCTTTTTGTTTAAATTCTGATTTTTTAGTGTGCAATTTCTACATATTTAACAAGATTTTAAAGATAAGTGGGATATGGGGGTCAAAATACAGTTTATAAGAACATTCCAGGTCCCTTGCTGCCTTTTGAGTGATTTATTCCAGTGTCAATTGTGCTTGATATATTAGTTCCTGATACTGCAACTTCCACTGTAGAAAGCTTTTGCAAAGGATGCTGTGGTCAAGTTGTGATAGTACATCTTAAATTTCTCACAGATCTTGGTAGTATGTAGATGTTGATATCCAAAATCAAATTTAAAAACCAAATGCACTGAACTTCATGGGTGTATAGTTAAGTGATTCTATACACATGTCAGAGAAGAGGACAGAATAAAAACTGGCTTCGTAGTTCATGGTATGTAGAAATACTGCTGTGGATTGAGACATGTTACTTGGTAATGATATTGTTGTAGCCCTACCTTCTTGGTGTCCTCACCGTACAGTATAGGAAGTTTTATCTTATGTAACAGATGCCATTATGCTCTCTGAGAATAACTGGATTTCATTTTTGCTTTACTATGTATTTTGTGAAATTTAGTTTCATATCATATGAGAAATCTCTGGTTACCATAAAACCCAATAGAAAATTTTTTGCATTCTCTGTATCATTTCGAAAAATCCTTATCAACTCATTATCAATATCAAATCATCGTTTTTCTTATTGTAGTCATTTAAGTATACCAAGATCCTGTCCATTATTGCAATAAACCTTCGTGTCTTAAAAGCAAGATATGTTTTTATACAAACTCTTTTTTTTGTCATGCTCATGTTTCTGGGAAGCAGTTTACCCTTTTATGGTTTATTTGTAATGGAAAGATCATTGTGAAGTATCTTGGGCACATTTTATTTATGCAAAATTGCAGTTTACCCTTTTATGGTTTATTTGTAATGGACAGATCATTGTGAAGTATCTTGGGCACATTTTATTTATGCAAAATTGCAGTTTACCCTTTTATGGTTTATTTGTAATGGACAGATCATTGTGAAGTATCTTGGGCACATTTTATTTATGCAAAATTGCAGTTTACCCTTTTATGGTTTATTTGTAATGGACAGATCATTGTGAAGTATCTTGGGCATATTTTATTTATGCAAAATTGCAGTTGCCTTCTAGTAAAGTTTTTTTATGGCACTAGTAGCTACAGTCCAACATGAGGCAAGATGTTCTGTAGGTGGTTTTACACCATCATATGGATGTGTTGGATCTCCTTTGCAAATATCATTCACTGTATTTTAGATATTGCTCTTTTCATGGTTCTGTTATTTTACTGTATGAAAATTCATTGTTTACAGCTGTGACATGTTTCTCCAACTATAAGTAATGATGATGGAATTGCACTGGGAAGTGGTCAGCAATTCACCGTGAATCGAATACACACATTACTTATGGCGTAAGCATATCACGGCATTACTGCTGTGATGACATTAAAATATGTAATTCAGTCTTATAACATGAGGTTTGTCTTCCATAGCAGTTATATGTTAAAATGTTTTATTTTTAAATCATGTTTGCATGTATAAAAAGTCTTGTAACTCTTTCATTGTTTTTTAATTTGTTAGAGTAAAGCAATCAAAAAATTTATAATGCTAAATTTGCTCTTTTCTTCAAAGATTCGGCAGAATTTGAGACACATTATTTCTATCTTGAATGTGACAAATCCAGAAGCTTTGGATTTTGCTAATGATTCAATAGTGTCAGATAAAAAAGATCTTCTAGCCCAATTAGACATAATAGACAATGCTGCCTGCAGTTGGATTTCTCTGATGTCTGGCATCAGTTTGAACATTTTCAAGGGTTTTAAAGATGAAGCAGATTTGTTGTTGTACTTCAAAGAAAAGCCTACTTTGACAATGTCACTGTATTAGCAAGTAAGAATGATTTGTTCACGAAAATTGGTTTCTTAGATAAAAACCTACTTTGACAGTGTCACTGTATTAGCAAGTAAGAATGATTTGTTCACGTACATTGGTTTCTTAGATAAAAACCTACTTTGACAATGTCACTGTATTAGCAAGTAAGAATGATTTGTTCACATACATTGGTTTGTTAGATAAAAGCCTACTTTGACAATGTCACTGTATTAGCAAGTAAGAATGATTTGTTCACGTACATTGGTTTCTTAGATAAAAACCTACTTTGACATTGTCACTGTATTAGCAAGAATGATTTGTTCACATACATTGGTTTCTTAGATAAAAGCCTACTTTGATAATGTCACCTGTATTAGCAAGTAAGAATGATTTAATCTTAAAAACTCACAATTTTTAAAAAAACAACGATTATTTTATAAACAATTCTATAAAAATGAGATTGTTTACAGTCTCCAAATTACTAAAGTACAATAATTTACTGTACAGGATAAAAAAAGTGGTAAAAACCCTAATGAAACTGGAAAACAATCTCGTACACTACATGTTTCGACGTATACTACTGCGTCATGCTCAGGAGTGTAATGTTTTGCAAAAAATAACACTTCTTTATACAATTATCAAAATGCAAAATTACATATTAAAGAATTTCACGCCATCTGCTGACAACATTTCCATCAGGTCCATCATCCTTATTCAATAATTTAAGTTTACTTTTTTTTTACATTTAATTATCTCAATAGATTCACATATATTCATACCAATTAAATTTCCAGGTTGTGCTAAAATAAAAATTTTGTCCCATTGAATTGTGTGATTAGTTTCACTACATTTTCTGATAAAGGTGAAATAGTGATATTATTATTTTTAACATTTCTTTTATGTTCATTCAGTCTGTATTTTAAATTTCTTCTAGTTTGCCGTATATAAACTTTTTTACATTCACATAATATTTTATATATGCCAAATTTTTCCATTAAATAAATTTTATCTTTAGTTGTATTAAGATTTTCGCTGACTTTGTTTATCGATTTGTATATCAGAAAAATAATCATATGTTTTTAAATTTTTTCATTATATGACAAGATAAACAAGGTATATATGATAGTACTAAACCATCTTTCTTCTTTTTTTAAGTAAATGGTTTTAACTTAATATTTTTATCCATATTTCTTAGTTTTATGACATCTCTGTCAACAACATCTAGATTAAAACTTCTTTCAGCTGCTATGTGCTTAATTAGCAATAACTCATTATTGATATCCTGTTTACAACATAATTGGATAGGGTAGGATAGGATATTAAAATGTTGCGATATAGTGCTGTTTTTCTGAACAGACTTTCTTTTAATAACACATTTTATTAGACATGAAAAGATTAAGGGGAGTATAGGATTGCAATTAACCAATCTGTTTATAAAAAGAAGACTTAAATTATTTTTCTAAGTCAGTAATAAATAGTTTTGTGTTTAATTATTTGTTTTGTAAAGATTTACATGTATGACTTGATCTATTACACATCATGATGTTTCATAAAATAATATTGTTGTTGCAACTGTAGGTGTAATATTTCAAATGAAAAAAGATGGCTCTCTCCCTAACCACATGATCTACAGAATCAGACAAAATGCTTCTTTCACTCCAACTACAAATCTAGTGCGAAACCGGTTCTGGTTTCCTGGGCCAAGGAACTGGGGTTATGGTTACTACCAATTTGGGTTTGTGTGGATACAGGTGAAAAATATTTTCTTTTTTTAACAAAGTATTTTTTTTTAAATATGTTGTTTATTGAAACTACATAAGCATATCTACAGTCTAGTGATAAGCCATATTAAGGATTGACAATTTAAAGATTTCAAGTAATATTATTAGATAGCTTATATATTTTATACTTCATATTTCTGTGCGAGTAAAATATCTACATTATCCACTATAGTAAAATAATATAAAACTAAATATAATCACAATAATTATTGTCCTTTTATGGGTTATGGTTGAAAATAATTAACCAAGCTTCATGAAAGTTAAGACAAGCTTAATAAATAGTATTTAGTTTCAATTTTGAAAAATTCATATAATTTGATGTAGTTTTTCTATCATTTTTTTTGTAGGTGGAAACTTATAAAATGTGAGACTTTTTTAAACAGAGCATAAAAGAATATTTCATTTCATCTTATTTCAATGTTTTGATGGTTGATTAGAAAGTTCCAGTTTAAGTATCTAGCCATTTTCAACTTGATTTTTCATTAACACACTTTTTAAATTTTATTTTTCTGATTGCACTTTTTAGTATAAGTCATAAAAAAAATAGCATAAGTTAACAAAGATTTATTGATAACCTAAGACCTGACCAATTAAAATGAAGTCAGGCTTGGTCACAATATTCTTGTTCAAAATCAGTTTTGTCAAATAAATATACTTTGTTTTCAATAAATTGTAAGGCCTTTTGTCTATTTGAGTTGTTTGATCATATACAATAAACTTAACAATAATATTCAATAAATAAGGATTTAGTCATCATATTGTTACCTCTCCGTTTGTTAATTAACTTTCCGTAACTTCATTCCGACGAAACTTTAGCGACGCAGTCCTTACTTAATAAAACTGGTTTATTCTTTACGATAC